CCCTGTGTATGAAGCTTTGGTGGGCTAAACCATGGAGGTATTCTACGCCCCTAGCAACATCTAAGGCAATGGTCAATCTTTTTGTCCACTCCAATGGTTGTAACCCTTCATCCGCCCAGTTGAAGAGATGCCTACTTAGCGTCCCTTGAGGCATGTATTCATAAACAAGAAGTTTTTCGTTTCCGTCAATACAGTATCCGAGGAGTGTGACAAGATGCCGATGTCGAACCTTGGTCAAAACATCAATCTCAGATTTAAACTCTGCTAGCCCCTTCCCAGTTATCACTCCACCTTCCATCCTTTTTACAGCGATCTTTGTTCCGTCATGCAATTCTCCTTTGTAAACTGTCCCGAAGCCTCCTCGACCCAGTATATTCTCTTCACTGAAATTGTTCGTTACATTTTTCAGTACTTGAATGGAGATCACCATGTTGGCTGCTTCAACCATTTGAATGTTGCTGGTTTCACTGGTAGAAACAGTATGAGTTTCACTAACAGCACCAACGCTGACACTCGATCCTGCAACTGTTATCTTTACACTATCGTTGTCTGATCCAGAATGACGAGGGTGAACAACCATAGCATTTGGACTCTGAACTCTGCTAAAACGCTTCTGTTTGCTCTTGTACAGACAGAAAGCTGCCACTCCAATCAAACAAAGCACAAAGACACCCCCAACTACAGAAAATACAACCACCCCAATCCAATTTCGAGATTTCTTATGATCATTTTGCGAACCACCTTCACTTTCAGAACCAGATTTGGGCATACTAGGAGAAGACGTTCCAGGAGAGCTTGAATCACTCTTATCCTTCCGAATGTCAGGATTCCCATTCGTCTTTACAATGATGTTACTTCTAAATGCCGGCACTTTCCCATGAAGCTGGTTGTTTGATACATCTAGTTCCGTAAGCGCAGGCAGAGTGGTGAGCTCCTCCGGCATAGTGCCAGTAAGATTATTATCAGCGAGAATCAATCTCTGCAGCGACTTGAGCGAAGCAAAATCAGGAGAAATTGTACCTATAAGCCTCATATTCTGAAAGTTTACAATGGTTATGTTCTCATTGTTGCAAGTAATCCCAAACCAATCGTTACAAGGATCATTCCCCTTCCAATTCTCAGCAAATTTTCTAGGATAATCCATTGATCTCGCAATAGAAAGTAAAGTATTCACTCTAGAATCACAATCACCAGGTTCAGGCAAGCAAAAACTATTGGTGTCTTGTGTCATATCCACAGAAACAGAGTCTATAAACTTTGGCATTGGCCCTTGAAAAAAATTATTTGTCAAATTAACAACCTTTAAGGAGTCGAGATTTACCAAAGACAAGGGAACAGGTCCTGTTAATGAATTATCCCTCAAACTCACTCTCTCCAAATTCTTCAAGCTCGAGAAATCAGGCAATGGACCAGAAAATCCATTTCCATGAAGCCAAACCTCCTTCAAGTATGTCATGTTCTGTATAACACCAATCTCTCCACCAAGTTTCTGCCCATTTAACCACAGAGACTCGATCTGGGACCCCGAAAAACTCGACGGCAACTCCCCTTCCAAGTTATTGAGAGCCAAATGCAAGTTTGTTAAACCAGGAAAATCATCACCTCCTAAAAATGATGGAATTTTTCCAGTAATATTTGCGGAATTAGCCGAGAAATTCTGAAGTGTTGAAGCATCATTAAGGCTTTCCGGAATTTCCCAACCAGAAAATGGATTATTATCAATCTCAACAGATAGCAAAGAAGACATGCCAGTAAAAAAATCAGCAGGAATGAAAGTAAACCGATTGTTACTGAGCATCAACACTTGCAGTGAACTAAACCCCTTCAAGCTTGGTAAAGGTCCAGAAATATTGTTCCATTGAAGTTCTAATCGCTCAAGCTGAGTGAGAGATGTGAGTTCTTGAGGGAGTGTACCTTGAACATTCTGGTGCCCGATTTGGATCCGAGTAACACGCTTCTCAGCGCAAACCACATGGTTCCACTTGCACGGATCCGGGTCCGACCACCCAAGACTCTCCGGTAAAATGAGGCTCCTCTTGAGAGCCAACATGGCTGAAGCATCATCCGGGCTGGTTTGAGACTCAACAAACAAAAATTCTGAACACAGAACCCCAAGAAATAGTAAAAAAGCTTGAAGCTTTAACCCAAAAATGGGGGGTTTCTTCATCTAAACAAGCTTTAAATTTCAACAGAAAAATCAGCACAACAGAAAGGATTAAGGAGTTATTTTACAGAATTTGCGCAGAGTTTTTCTGAATGATAAAAATTATCACTGGATTCTGAAGAGAGAGAGAGAGAGACGATTGTTCGGGAAGAGACTAGAGAGTGGGGCATATCGATGCAAATGCAACTGCTCTGCAAGTATTGGAGAATAGAGAGAGCTGCACATGGGATAAAGGGACCCACAAAAACTGAAAAGTTTCTGAAAGGGATAGTATCAAAATGACAGTGTTAAAAAGCTGGATCATAATTCGATGATTCTTCAGAACATGGGCATAACCCAGTTTGGCACTCGTGTTTGTGCTGTATAAATGGCATTTTTAATTTTTTGGTGACCAAAAAGGAAAAAAAAAAATTAATTTTGATAAGCAAAACTTTGTTAATCATGTTTAAAGTGTAACTTTTAAGTTACTTTCGAAGCAAACATTTTTTCTATTATTATATTTCAAGATGAATTTGTGGATCCAATTCATTTACAATTAAAAAAATAAAATGTAAAAATCACTCAAAATCGTGAATAAAATAATTTAGAAAAATAGGCCCACAGACAAAAATGAGTTTTAGATTTTACTCTTTCTAATAACTAAATTTTGCTGGGTACCATGAGTTGTCATGTCTTCAAGAGGAGTTGAAACGTATAGAAATTATTTGTATGCATGTAACACGTATATGTCTATGAGTGCATATGATTATAAAGGGCAAATTACACGAAAGATAGATATAGCAATGGCATGAGTTGAACTAGGGGAGTCAAATCTTGCTCCGCGCATTGACTTGCCTATCACAAATTGAGCCGAGTTGGGTTGACCCGCAAACTTTCTGTTTATTGTTAATAGAGTTAGACTTAACATGTCAAATCGAAATTCAAAGTTGTGAAGAAATGAGCTATCACTCATGAGTTGAGCTCTCACAAACCGATTCGAACACATTGCCATCTACATGGTTAGGTCAATCAATTTTGAATAAAGTTTTGTCGGGGCCATTCAACTTCAATTTAGTACAATCGATTCACTAATGTCAAATTAAAATTGAAATTGGACGACTTGATTGTCTAAAATTAAAGGTAGATGACTTTGATGAGATTTTCACATAAATTGCCTCTATCTATTGTTTTAGATGAACATAGAGTATGAGAAAATAGTTCTTTCCCAATCTCACCACTTCTAACCTCCCCCTTTTCAATAATCTTGAACTTGAGCGTTTTATTCTATAAATGTAATATCTCCAATTTACTCAAAATCATTTTCATCTTATTTTTGGATCTTTATTTTTAGTCACCTCCACGTAATTTTATTTGTCACTATCCATGCCAAATATATTTGAAAGTAATATACTAACACAAACACAAAACCTTCAATGTTGGCCTTCCATGTGTGATGTAAATCTTTTTTAAAATAGTCTCCTTTTTTTTATTATTGGATACTAAATACGTTTAAAAGAAAGTAAAAGCGAATCTCAAATAATTGATATAGGCCCCGAAGTTTGTGATGTATTCCACTTCCATGTGTGTTGTGGCCTCGTGTGATAACCATTTTTCCTCTTCTAGAAAGCGTGCTAGGTATTATGATACCAAATAAACATTCAACAGGTATGATATTTAATGATTAATTTCATAGGCTTCGGCCGAGAATTCAAATGTGAAATCAACACCACAATTGTTTGGCTCGACTCAAAAATAAATTGGACCATTCGAAGCAACATTATAATTAATGGTTACTTATGGCCTGCTCACTATTTGGATGGCCTCTTTAGTTGCATTAGCCCACCCTACTTTCTTGGTCCATTTATTTGAAAACTGAGTTGTATAAATGTGGCCACTTTGTCTTGTTGAAGCCGTGTGATTGCAATTGAGAGAAAACGCTAGGCAGCCGTCTCCTTCTTGCTTTCTTTGTGACCATGAGTTGAGTTGAACCTATCTTCCTTTCATCTCTTCATCTTTGTGAATTGCAGCCACCATATTCCTTTGTGGATTATTAGCTATTGGGCAACCAATAGTAAGCACTTGTGGGTTTGAGCAATCAGTTACTAGTGGAGTTTGATAATTAGTTTTGAAACTGAGCCTGATATTTGTACACAAATCGAAGATCTTTGTTTCTTCACAGAACAAGAGTTGGCTTTATGTAATTTGGCTTAAGTGGACATCAACAAATTTCAGGGCCAAGAGGTACACATTGTTAGATTTGATTCGGTTCCATTTTAAAGATAACCAAAATCGAAGCAAGCGTCAAAGATATCCTAAAAATGTAACTGATATTATTCCTAAATATTGTCTTTATTTCAAATTCTACGTGGTATCAAGGCTTTGGTCCAACAAATAAAAACCATGTCAGTATCTATAATTGAATACAACACCAACCTTGGCTGCCGCCCCTCTCTCAAATAGTCGACACTCTATCTCCTCTCATTCCCATTAATCAGCCCCAAAATTCTCAACTAAATCACTATCCATTTGTTCATTCTACTCGGTTATGCAATACCTCAAATCACCGACCATAATAAGGTTCTGCCACTTTGTATAGTACAGAGACATTCAGCCCCTTTTTTGTCCATAATTTGTACTTCAGTCAAGCACAACCAAAGCATCCTTCCAGTGCTAGTCATATTCTCCTTTTTGTCCATCACCTACTCAACGTACAACAACTCTTCTTAAGCTGTCCCACGGGGCATAGTTCAGTGGTGCAAATGACAGGAGTGAAGTAGTCTCAACTGAGCTGGCAGCCGCAGTGTGAGGGTTCGATTCTTGCCTCTTACAAAGTATGAAATTGGACTCTTTGTGGGCACCAATATGGTAGCTCTTGTACTCTGGCCTACTGAGGTACATCTCGCGATTTACCTCATCCACAATGTTCTAGGGGCGGAGTGGTGGGGGAGCCCTCAAGGTCGGGGTTCAACCTTTTTTACAACAACTCTTCTTAAGCTACATGCTCGGCTCTCTCTATGCGTCGAGGCTTTGACCAATCTTCTGGTAGCTGGATACTTGACTCAGGGGGCATCTCTCCATGCTGATACTGATCTCATTAAATATTGCTCCAGTCCCCTTGACCTGACAACTTTATGACTGGTGACGGAACCAATCTACAGATTTCCCACACTGGTTGTCTTTCCTTCTTTATTCATCTCATTCTAGTAAATTATCTAATATAATTTGTGTTTCGGACATGAAAAATAATTTAATTTCTATCTCTAAATCTTGTTAAACTAATCATGTGTTAGTTGAATTTTCTTCCACCTTATTTCCAAGTGAAGGGCTAAAGTACGAGTGCTTGCCTTTATGGG